ACTGGTACTTGGAAGACTTGCTGTTATACCCATTGTACAGGTGGGAAAACCGAGGCCCGGGGACGTTAAGTGACTGCTTCAAGGTCAGGAACCTGGCATGCAGAACAGCTGAGGTCGGCTGTCCCTGACCCGCGGTCGGCAAAGCGCGGCTCGCGAGCCACATGCGGCTCTTTGGCCCCTTGAGTGCGGCTCTTCCACAAAATACACCACGTGCGGGCGCGCACGTACAGTGCGATTGAAACTTCGCGGCCGATGCGCAGAAGTTGGTATTTTGTGGAAGAGCCACCCTGAAGGGGCCAAAGAGCCGCATGTGGCTCGGGAGCCTCGGTTTGCCGACCACTGCCCTAGACCATGCACTCCTAACCGCTTCATGCTTCTACCGCTGTCCCTACCATCCCTCCGCCTGCCGGAGACATTGACACACACAGGAAGTCAGCATTACCACCAACACCCAACACCGGCCAAGCAGCGGAGGGTCAAAAAGAGCCAGGGCCCCAGCCAGTGTGGCTCAGTGGGTAGAGCGCCAGCCTGCGGACCGAAGGGTCCTGGGTTCGATTCCGGTCAAGGGCACGGACCTCGGTGGCAGGCTCCTCCCCGGCCCGGGGCCCTGGTCGGGGCGCGTGCAGGAGGCAACCCATCGATGTGTCTCTCTCACATCGATGTTTCTCTCTGTCTCCCACTCTCTCTCCCACTCTCTCTAAAAATCAGTGGGAACATATCCTTTGGGTGAGGATTAAAAAAAGAAAGAGCCCTGGCCGGGGGGTCACAGGGCTAGGCCTGGTCACAGCCGGGCCTCCTTGACTTAACCCTTCTGCCCTTAAGTCCCTCCCATGGCGGCCTTAGCATATCATTAGCATATTAAGCTTTGATTGGTTGAGCGGCTGCTGGACAACTGGGCACTTAGCATATTAGGCTTTTATTCTATAGGATGGTTTCCACTGACCTCTCTCCCAGTCCCTTAACCTTCCCTTCTGCTATGACCCCTCTGCCTTTAAGTCCCTCCCCCCCGGCAGCTTTTACATTCTCCGTCACCATCATTTGGAACGGCGGGAAGACTTGTTGTACCCATTGTACAGATGGGAAAACCGAGGCCCGGCTTTCCCAGCTGGGCCTCCAGTTCCCCGTCTGTAGCTGAAGGCACTGGCTCTGCTCCTGTCTGACTCCTCCTCCAGCGTGACAGCGAGGAAGTTGGGGTGGAGCCCAGACGGGGTTCTGGCTGGACTTGGGCCCGGGCCTGGAGGACTCGGTGTCCTGGCCTCCCCCCCCCGACCCCGCCCCTGCCACT